CTGGGTGCTGCAGAGAAGCCCAGGGATCAGCAGCATCCTTGGGGCACAGGCACTTGATTTTCGAAGCCCCCAGCTTCGAAATGGGGCAAAAATGGAGCAGAAAGTTGCTTTCAAGTAAATCTTTCACTGTCTGGATTTCCTGTGGGCTGAAAAGGCTCCCATGGCTGGTTGGCCTGGGCTTGGGAGGGCCAGGAAGGGAGAGAAACCATCCGGCATCACTCCATCCGTGGCCTCTCCCAGCGCTGCGCCCTCCAAACGAGCTCTTATTACTTTGCTTGTTGTCGTTTGCCAGATCAATGGTCCATGGAGGAGTGATCGATGGAGTCCCAGCTGGATAATAGCGCCATGTGCCCGGATGCTTGGTGCTGGGCTGGGCTCCACAGGGAGCTCCGAATCCCATCCCTGGCCGTGAAGGTGCTCCTTACTTCAGCGGACCCACCCAGACCCCTGCAAGGGGATGGTGGATGCTCCTGGGATGGGTTCTGGGCTCTGCCCTGCGCACCTAAAATTGGACAGAGGCTGCGCCTGGGGACACCTGGGGACAGCAAGTCTGGCCCTCTCCCTTCGTTTTGGCTGCATACTGGGAGGTGGGGAGGGAGAGCGGGAATGTGGGCTCTGATCGATCAATTAATTAATTAATGGAGTGTGCTGGAGGTGTAGCGGCAGAGCTGCTTTAATGAGGGGTGGAAAACGTGTGGCGGCTCGGCAGGACATCACCAGAAGAGGAGGTGGCCCCTCCTGCCTGTCCTCTGCCTGTCCCCTGCCCGTGGGCTCCCAAGAGGGTGACGGGGTGCGTGGCAGGGGGACGGTGGGCAGGGACGACGGGCACACGGTGGCCCTGGCCGCCTGCCCTCCATCCTGGGGCTCTGCCTGCTGCATTCAGACAGCGGGGAGGGGGGCTGACAATGTGAGGCCATTAGCATTGAAAATCCATGCAGAGCAGCTGTTCCCGCTCGGAGCATGCAGCTGGATGCGGCTACGGAGCGGGAGCCGAGGTTCTGGGAGAGGGGGGAAAGGCTGAGGGGGGACCTGATCGCCTCAGATCCCTTGGGGAGTCATCCAGAGCAAGCATGGAGGAGCCTTCCAGAGGGCTGGGCCAAGTGGGCTCCATCCCAGCGGCGGTCCTGCGGGCTGGGTGCGGATCCATCCCGGGGGAGGAGGATGCAGGATGCTCGTCTCTCCCCGCTCCCTCGGCCTCCCGCCGTGCTGGGTTTTTTTCCGCTCCATTTGCCAGGGGCTGGAGCTGCTGCCTGATCGTATTTGGTAATAAATTATTAGTTCCAGCACTCGGGAGCCCGGGAGCTCAAAATAGCTGCTGTAAGAGCGGGCGGCTGGTGCAGGTCGAGTTCAATGGCAATCTGCTCCCAAGGGCACTCCATGCTCATTAGGGGCCTTTCAAGGTGCTGGGAAGGGGGCAAGCTGGAACCAAGGTGCTAAACCTGCCCACTTCCTGTTTCCTGACAGCAGTATCCCCTGCCCAGGGATTTTGGGGTGCTGAGAGCCCATGCCTGCCCCTCGCTGCCCGTTCCTGCCTGCCCGCAGCGGCTGCCGGTGGGTTTTATTTGTCTCCAGCCCCACCAGGCAGCCAGACTGGTTCTGCTCTCGCTGCCGGAGGAGGCTCCCGCTGCCAAAAAACCCGCCAGCATCATCAGGAGCAGATGGAGAGAACATGGCACGCTCCCAGCTCCCAGCTCCCAGCCCTGTGCCAGGGATGCGAGGGGGGCAGGGACACCGCTCCAGAAGCCAGAGGCTTGGGGTCCTGCACTACTGGAGATGCCAAACCCCATGGCAGGTGCCATGTGTGGCACTGTGGGAAGGAGTGGCACAGGGAAGGGTGAGGGGAATATGGCAGTGACCCTGCCATCCCCTCTCCTCCTCCTGCCGGGCAGGGAGCTGCCTGCTCCTGTGGCCAGCAGCCAACGGGCACCGGGAATGCCAGACACTCCCTGTGCCGCTGTGCCTGAGCACATGCTGTGGGAGGGTTGGGGACAGGGTGACACATCACCTGCTTCCCAATCCCCAACCTCCCCCATGGCCTCAGCAGGGGCCCAGGTGCCCTGCAGCCCTGCAGCCCCCCCCCCTTGGCACTTTGGAGGGGTACAGGCAGCAGCTGCCCAGGGACAGGTACTTGGGCGTGTCAGCCCTGCACCCCACAGGGCTGGGGGCAGTGGAGGGACAGCCTGCCCTGTTTTGGGGTTCATGTCCCCGCCCCGGTGAGGCAACTGCTGACGTGACCCCGGACTGCTCCAGGCACAGAACTTGACCTGTTTTTCCGCACGGATCTGCCTGCTGGGAAAAGCAGCCAGGGAAGAGCTGAGCAGGCGTGGGGGAGCACCTCACCGTGGGGCATCACGGCGTCCCCAGCCGCCCTCAGGGGTAAGTGGCATCAACATGGCCCCGGCGGCGGGATGCCGGACAGAAGGAGGGACACAGTGTGGCCCCACATCCCATCCCCACGTGGATGCTCCTGCCCAGCCAGCTCTCCGTGCCTCAGTTTCCCCAGCTGGCAGCTGTCCCTTGGAGCAGTCCAGGGACGCCTGGACAGACGGACGCCAGCGCCGTCGGGGCACGGCGGGTGAGCGCCGCTGCTCGGGCCCCAGCCGGGGCGGAGGCGCCGATTTTATCACTGGGAAGAAGCAGCAAAACTGGTTTTGAGCCCGGCTGGGGCAGCGGCACAGCTCAGCCCGGGGGGCACACGAGCTCCCCGCACACTTCCCGGCGAGCTGCCGGCTCCCAGCTGCCCTGCGCTCTCCTGGCAAATCCCATTGAGATCATGAGTTTGCCGGGAGGCGTTTGGGGCCGCGGGGATCAGCTGAGCATCACACGGGTGATGCCCTGCCGCCAGCCCCGTGCCCGGAGAGCGTGTGCCAGTGAGCTGATCCCACCGAGTGGCTGGCAAAGTGTCTCCAGACATGGATTGGGGCTGGAATGGGGGGGGGGGGGGTTATACCTGGGTTAATAGGTGGGGAGAAGCTGGGGGGCACTGGGAAGTGGTTGGGGATTGCAAAGCTGTGCCCGGGGGTTGTGGGGCTGTGCTGGAAGAATGCAGGGATGTGCCCAGGCTGTGCCTGGGGGATGTGGGACGATGCCTATGGAATGTGGGGCAGTGCCCAGGGCATGCAGGGCTGTGCCCAAGGGTGTGGGGCTGTGCCTGTGAGCTGTGGGGTAATACTTGGGAGACGTGGGGCCGTGCTTGGGGAATTCAGGAGTGCAGCCAAGAGAATGCCAGGCAGTGCCTGGGGGTGCAAGGCTGTGCCTGGGGGGTGCAGGATTGTGCCCAGGGGGTGTGGGGCAGTTCCTGGAGGATGTGGGGCAGTGCCCAGGGGGTGCAGGACTGTGCCCAAGTACATGGGGCTGTGCCTGAGAGCTTTGGGGCAGTGCCTGGAGGATGCAGGGCTGTGCCAAGGCGATGCCAGGCAGTGCCTGGATGATACAGGATTGTGCCTGGGGGATGTAGGGCAGTGCTCAGGGCATGCAGGGCAGCGCCCAGGGAGTTCAGGCTGTGCCTGGGGTGCTGCATCCCCTTTGTATGGTGCATGGGTGCCTGGTGGGGCAGGTATATCCCCGTGCCTTGCTCCTGGGGGGACACCAAGGACTCATCCGGGAGTCCACAAGCTGAAGCAGAGCCCGGGGTGCCGGTGCAGAGCCTGGGGGTGCCGGGGCCAGGCTGGCGTGGCGGGTTGGCTTCCCAGCTGTTCTGGTAATGAATTTACATGAGCCGAGCGTGTCGACAAGGCGGCAGTCAATGGCTGAGAGCACCGGAGTTAATAAATGCTTGTATAATGAGGGCAGAGGGGAACGTGCCGCCGCGCCGGCCGCCTCTCCTGGGGCCGGGGGGCAAAGATTAATCAACGCTGAGTGCCACTCGTGCCCCCCCGGCTCCCGCAGCGCCCGGCGCTCTACCCAGCCAGCCGCTGCCACGGGATGCTCCGGTGTCTCCCGCGGTTATGCTCTACCCACCCACCCTCTATCATGGGATTCTCCAGGTGTTCTGGCGTCATCAATGCCTCCAGCTGCCTCCAGCCCCACTGGGAGTTGGGGAGCTGCCCCGCGACCCTCCCCCACCATCCGCCTGCCCACCTGGGAGCTGGGCTAATTTTAGGCTGGTGTTAATGAAGCTGCTCGGTGAAGTCTATTTTAAGGACCCTGACATCAGCAGTTGCTGTTTCAGGAGGTGGAGAGCCCTGGAGCAACTGGTGTGACAGCTCGGGGGACACGAGGTGGGCTGCACCTTCCTGCTCAGCTCCTGAACCCCCAGTTTTGGGGGTCACTGTGCCCTGTAGCACCTTGGTGCTTAGGAGTGCAACGAAGGGGATTTCGGGGGGCTGTGGTGAGGATTTGAAGGTGCATTTTGAGGAGCTGGGGGTGCTGTGGTACAGATTTGGGGGTACAGTGCTGGAGTTTTGGGGTGCAGTGCTGGGGATCCATGGATGCAGTAATGGGGATTTGGGGGTGCAATGCTGAGGATCCAGGGATGGAATGGTGGGGATTTGGGGGTGCAATGTTGTAGATACAGGAATGAAATATTGGTGATTCAGGGATGCAGTGATGGGAATTTGGGGGTGCAATATTGGGGATCCAGGGATGCAGATTAGGGATTTGAGAGTGCAGTGCTGAGCATCCAGGGATACGGTGTGGGGATTTAGGGGTGCAATGGTGGCAATTAGGGGTTGCAGCAGTGGTGCTTTGGGTTTTGGCAGTACCATGAAAGTCAGAGGACTGCTTTGCTCTCATCACCTCCATCAGGATGCTGAAGTCCCTGTGTCCCTCTGCCTTACCGTGGGGCCCCACTGAGCCCCCTTGCTCCATTATCCAGGGATTCAGTGGGGCCATGGGATGCCCCCATTGCCTGAACTCGGGGTGCATTTTGGGGTGGTGAACCAGAGGGAAGGTCTTGCTCATCCCACTAGTTGTTCCAGCTCTGGGGGCGGAGGGGGGGTGGAATTGAGGATCCACTCTCCAGGTTAGGCCCTGTCTAACCCGGGCTCTCTCATTCACAGGCATGAGCCATGAGCCGAAGTCGCCGTCCCTAGGAATGCTCTCCACTGCCACCCGCACCACCGCCACCGTCAGCCCCCTCACCCCGTCCCCCCTCAACGGCTCCATCGTCCCCAATGGCAGCCCTGCAGCCAGCAGCACTTTGTCCGTCCAGGCAGCACCTTCCTCCAGCTTCGCCGCCGCTCTCCGCAAGCTCGCCAAGCAAGCCGAGGAGCCCCGAGGTAGGGACAGGGACAGGGGACAGGGGGGTGACAAACACCAGTGCCTTTCCCCCCGCCACCACCCGGGAGCTGGTGTTTTCTTGCCATTTCCCAACTAATGTCTTTCCCCGGCGCCGTGTCTCGAGGGGGCAATTTAGAAATTCAGTCCAGCCAGAGTAATCCAAATGCCGGATCACTCACCATAGCCTGGGAGAAAGCCCGGGAGAGAGCAGTGTGGGGGGAAAAACAGCCCTGCTCCCTCTCACCGTGCTTCACCCAAATGCTGTTTCTTTCCAGAGGTTCCTCAAATTTGCTCCTTCCTCAAATTCCATGACTAAACAGCAAATTTGAGCTCACCAGGACGTCCCCGTCCCTTGTCACCCATATCCTCCATCACGCCCCCCTCTCTGCTCAGATGTGGGGTGATGGGATGTGAGGTGGTTCTGGAGCACCACGTGGTCCCCACTGCCACAGGGAGCATGTCCCATGGGAATTGCCAGGGCTGTCCCACATACAGAAGGGGAGGCAGCCAGTCCCCAGGCTGTGAAGTGTTTCACCAGGAGGCTGCTGGCATCATCAGTTTGGGATGAAATAGCATTTATCCGTGGCATTTGTGTTGGTGGGTGCTCCCCTTGGGTCACTGCCCTTCACCCGGGCACTTTGATCCCTGGAGAAGACACTCAACCCCTTTGCAAGGGATTTTTAGCAAGGTCTTTTTGGAAGACCCTCTTTAAAAGACCCTTTTAACAAGGCCCTGTTGGGACAAGCCTTTTTCCAAGACCATTTTTTCAAGGCTCTATTTGGGAAACCCTTTTTTTAGAAGGACCGTCTGCAAGACCCTCCTCGTAGCCCCCCACCAGCCCCCAAAAGCCCCATCACAGGCATGACCTGAAGCATCAGCTGCTCCCAAGGAAGCATGTGGGGACACCAGGTCCCTGTGAACTGAGGGGACCATGTCTTGGTGATGTTTCATCCTTGCTGGGAACTCCTGGTTCTCCCCAGCTGCCTCCTCTGGAACCCATCTGCTTCCTTTGGGGCAATCGACTGAGTTTGGGGGATTATTTTGCTTTTTCTTCCCCCCCAGCACCCCACAGCTCATGCCCTCCCAATACTGCTCAGCCCATTCCAAAGCACGTCATCAGGTTTGGGCATGGATTTCATGGCACTGGGGAGAAGCAGTAACATTCCCTTTGGATTTGCCCTTAACACATACATAGTTTGTTTGCAAAACCCCCTGCCCTCGCCCATCTGGGTGCCCCAAGTGGCTCATCCTGGAGGTTTTTAATTGGTGTGGGTTTGGGGGTGTGCTGGGAAGGAGGTTTTTCTCCATGCAATGGCTTTTAGCACCAGGAAATTAATGGCTTTGCACCAAAATCCTCACCCACTTCCCACAACAGGAGATACTCACCCCTCTTCCCTTCCCACTGTGGGAGATGCTTTGCCATAGTAGTTGCCAGCTATGGGGTGATGCCAACAAGATCCACCCAAGATTACTGTCTTTTTTCTGGCTTTATGGACTCACAGTTCTGCTGGGGCATCTGTTAGGGATGTCCCACTGTTCCACAGCGTCCCAAACTGCTGGGGCTCATCCTAACCGACCCCATCCCAGCAAAGCCCCATGAAACCGCCACCTGCCCAGGGGCTCCTTCCAGCAAAGCCCCACGAAGCCACTGCCTGCCCGGGGGCTGCTGCGTCTTGTCCTGCCCCAGGCTGTCCGCAGGGTGGGTTTTATTCCACCCTCCCTTCCCTCCTTTTTTCACTGTTCTCCGTCAGGGTCTCAGCTGTTAATTACATTTGCCTGTCAGCCCGGGCTGCTAATCTGCTATCACGGAGCGGGAAGCGGGAGGTCAGAAAACAAAGGTGACACCATCACACTGTGCCTCTTGTCATCTCCAATCCAGATTAGTTTCATTGACTAACTCCTGGCTGAATACCACCAGTTAATTATAACGATCACAAACCCTCCCGTTTAAAGCCACACAGCGAGAATTAAGGTTCTGAAGTAAGACTTTAGCTTCATTAATTGCCGGGCTCATTGTGATGGTATTGATTGTTAACGCTATCGCGTGGTGAGTAATGGCTTCCCAGCTCAGAGGGGATTAGGCTGCTAATTGTTGTTGGCCTTGCGCTGACAAGATAGACTTCAGTGGGTGTCAAATCCGTGTGGCGGCCTCCTTTGTCGGGGACAGCCTTTCTCCTTCCCCCAGCCTTGCTGCTCTTCAAATGAAAGCGATTCGGAGCGACTCAGGAATAATTAATACAGGAGGGCGGCCGGCAGTGGGATGCTCCGCTTGGCCTCTGCTCCGCCGAGCATCCTTCCCGCTGAGAATCCTTCTGGAGCATCCTTCCCAGCCAGCATCCTTCCTGCTGCCTGGGGATGCTCCTGCCTCCCTGTGGCATTCCTGACCTTGCTTCTTCCTGGTGTTCCACTGTCACAAGGATGGCGAGGGGATGGAGGTGGGTTGCAGGGTCACAGGGTGAGGGAGCAGCTGCTGGCACTCTCGGGGGAGCTGGCTGGTGTGCCCACAGGGCAAGGAGCTGGCATGCACACTCAGGGGAGTGGGCTTGCACACCTGAAAGTTGAGGAGACACCTTGCACACTCAGGGGAGCCAAGGCCACTCTGAGTGCCAGGCTCAGTGCCAGAGGGAGCATCGCTGTCAGCTCTCTGATGGCATCCTGTGGTGACCATGGGCCACTCCTCACTCTCCAAAGGCTGATCCCTGCTGGTATGCCAGAATCCTCCCCCTGACCCAGACTCCAGGCTGGAGGGAGCAGGGTTTGGGGGGTCAGAGCCCCCCAGGCCGCCTGGCTGGGTTTGAGGATTGGACAGCATTCCATGGAGCAGACACCAGGCACCGTGTGCCCTGGTTAATGTGGAATTTGTATTTCTGCTCCATCTCTGCTTTTCCCGCTTTCTGCTTTAACTCCATTTCCATTTTTCCATTTGGAAATATGGCCAGCATCCCTGGGGTGGGGATAATGTAAAATACAGATGTATTATGCAAATAAGGCCAAAGCTTTGCTCAAGGGTTTTGGGGAGTCACTCCATCCCAGTGTCTCCGGGTACCCTGGCTTGTGCATAGAAACTTTTGCAGCTGGATTAAGGAGTCTTTGGGTTCAGCTTGGGAAGATGTGGCTATCTGGGGTTGTCATCTCATTGGTGTCACTTGTGCCAAGGGGCTTTATGAGACTAGTGGGATTGGAAGCCCCTATTAGGGAGAAAGAGGGTACCCATCCCACTATGTGGGGTGAAGCGCTTTTGCACCAGTGGGAACCTACCTTGGTACAGGCTCCCTGGGAACCCCAGGATGGGAGGATGAGGGTCCAGTCTGGGCATCTGGTGGGATGCTGACCACCCTGCGAGCATCCCTGGTCCCTGCAGTGGGGCATCCTGTCAGGAGTGCTCTGTCGTTTTCGGAGGGTGCTTTCATCTGGCTAACTGCTGTGTTTTCCCAACTCATTTTAATTTTTTATTTAATTTCAGGGTCCTCACTAAGCAGCGAGTCGTCCCCAGTCTCCTCGCCAGCCACCAACCACAGCTCCCCTGCCAGCACCCCCAAACGTGGCCCCATGGGCCCCATCATCGTGCCCCCGGGGGGGCACAGCGTGCCCAGCACGCCGCCCGTCGTCACCATCGCCCCAACCAAGACGGTCAACGGGGTCTGGAGGAGCGAGGGCAGACAGGTATGGCTGTGTTTGTTGGGTGCCCAGCCCCCTCAAAGGTTGGAGGGTGTGATTGTGATCTGCGCTGCTCCTGAGGGATCACAGGGCTGCCCCCCACTATGTCCCTTCTCCTCCCCGTGGTGTCCCCGAGCTGCTGTAGTCACCGGGGCTGCCATGTCCCCGCGCTGCCATGATTCCTGGGCTGCCATCATCCCCGGGCTGCCATCCGGAGGGGAGCTCGAGGAAGAAGGAAGCGCGGGGAGGGGGGGAGCGACTAATTAAGAAGCATCGTTAGTGGTTCTCCTCTCCTCCGCATGCTACAAGCAGATTCCCGGGGGGATTATGCCACTTGGAAAGACTAATTAAACCACAAAGCGGAGAGAGGCAAGGGTAGGGGATGCAAAACGCCGAGGGCGGGGGAGGAAAATAAATGGAACTCGATCGCCGGGCGCTCAATGGGGTGTGTGGGGTGTCCGGGTGCTCCCCACCCCCGTGTCCCCCCCGTGTCCCCCCCGTGCCGCCTCTCCCCGGCGCGGGGGTAACCGAGCGTGGTTATTGTGTGGCAGAGCCGCGCTCGCAGCGTGACGCCCTGAGACGGGAGGTAATTGGAGCAGAGCCTGGCACGCACAATGAGCCTGCTCCGTGCAGGCGGCAGAGGTGGCGGGGAGGGGGGGACACGGCGCCCTTTGTGCCGGCCGTGGTGACCTTGGGGCTGTCCCTAATGGCTGGGGACCTGCGACTTGCCCTGGAGGGTCTGGGGTGCGGGATGGGATGGGATGGGACGGGGAGGGATGGACAGGGTGGGGGATGCTGTGGGTGTTGCCATCCTCCTGCTGAGCTGCTAAACACAGAAGGTGCAATGAAATAGAATCAATTTTAAACCCAGCCTTGCCTTGCTGGGGGCCCCCCCTTAAGTGTCAGACCATGCAGGCTCCCTTGTCACCCCAAGTGGTCCCCATTGCTGGGGGGTGCCTCCACAGCTGGAGGGAGAGACCGTCCTGGCACTGGGGATGGGAGCTGATGGGAGACGGCTGGGGCCCCATGTCAGGGTGGGGGTGTTGATGCCAGAGGGGAGCTGGGAGGATTCCAGGCTGACCCCTGGGTTATGGCTGTTATCAAAGCCCGGCTGGATTTCCCCTGCCTGTGTCCTCCCCGGATGATTAATAGCTCTGGAGAACAAAGCAGCCCATAAATCTCCAGGCAGGTAATGGGTGTCCTGCCCTCAGCTCTTCTCAGGCTTCAGCACCCCCTTTCCCACTTATGCCCCCCTAGTGTAGCCCCCCAGACCCTAACACCCCTCCAGCTGCACTTCCAAAGCCTAGATGCAGGAGAATGCTCTGATGGAACTGGTGCCAATCAGGGAACCCTCTGAGCACACTGGGAACCCACTGGGGGTCTCTGGGTAGGGACACAGCAGGGACACTCCATCCTTGTGGGATCTCTGCCATCCCCTAATGCCCACCTTGGCATTCCTGCCCCTTTGCCTTCCAGCAGGAAGCAGGGTCACGAGGCAGCAGCAGCAGCGCCGGCCGCGAGCGCCTCATCTCGGAGCCCCCACTCACACAGGAGAAAGCAGGGGGTCCCACCGTCCCCTCCCACCTCCTGGGGACACCCTACTCCTTCGGGCTGCCCCCCAGCTCCGTGGTCCAGGACTCCCGCTTCCCACCTCTCAAGTGAGTCTGGTCGGAATGAATGGAGGGTGGGGGGTTGCAGGATGCAGGTGTCCCCTGCGAGCTCTTGTCCCATCCTGGGGAGTCACATCTCCCCAGGGGGGCAGGAATGGTGACCATCTCCCTACCCCCCCAGCCTGCAGCGGCCGGTCCACCACGTGGTGCCTCCCAGCGCAGTCACCGAGGATTACCTGCGGAGCTTCCGTCCCTACCACACGGCCGAGGACCTCCGCATGTCCTCCCTGCCGCCCCTCGGCCTCGACCCGGCCACCGCCGCCGCCTACTACCACCCCAGCTACCTTACACATCACCCCTTCCCACATCCTGCCTTCAGGTGGGCACCTCAGGACCTCGGGATCCCAGGGAAATGCTGGAGGAGGAGCCTTGTGGGCTGGGGAACTGGGAGAGTGATCCACAAAGGATGTTTGGGCTGCACCGGGGGGCATTTTGAGGCTCTCTCAACACCTTCTCCCAGCAGAAGGCGGCCCCCATCCAGCTTCCACGTGGGGAACTGGGGGGTTCTTTGGCCCTGCTGAGCATCCCTGTCTTCCCAGGATGGACGAGTCTTACTGCCTGTCGGCACTGCGGTCTCCCTTCTACCCGCTGCCAGCGCCGGGCTCGCTGCCACCCCTGCACCCCTCGGCCATGCACCTGCACCTCTCGGGGGTGCGGTACCCCCCCGAGCTCTCCCACTCCTCCCTCTCCGCCCTCCAGTCCGAGCGCATCTCCAGCCTCGCTGCCGAGAGGTACAGAAGGGCTGATGGGTGGGGGTGATGGTTTTGAGGTGCTCCAGGGGATGCTGATAGGTGACCAGGGGTGGGTTTGGGGTGCTCCAGGGGATGCTGACAGGTGTCTGGGGGTTGGCTGGGGGTGCTCCAGGGGCACTGAGAGGCAGCTGGGGGTTTTGGGGTGTTCCAGAGAATGCTGACAGGAAGCTGGGGATTTGGGGGTGTTCCAGAGGATGCTGACAAGTGACTGGGGGTGGTTTGAGGGTGCTCCAGGGGATTCTGACAGATGACCAAGGGTTGTTTGGAGGTGCTTTGGGGAAAATGTGCACATCTGGGAGTGCTCCAGGGAATGCTGACAGGCACGGGGTGGGGCTTGGGGGTGTTCTGGGGGATGGTGACAGGCATCTGGAGGTGGGTTTGGGGTGCTCCAGTGGATGTTTGGGGTTGGTGCTTTTCTTATGGGCTTTTCTTTGCAGGCTGCAAATGGATGAAGAGCTGCGGCAGCGGGAGCGGGAACGGGAACGGGAGCGGGAGAAGGAGCGGGAGCGAGAAGCCGACCGGGAGCGGGAGAAGGAGCGGGAACGGGAGCGGGAACGTGAAAAGGAGCTGGAACGCGAGCGGGAAAAGGAGCGGGAGCGGGAGCTGGAGAGGCAGCGGGAGCGTGCCCGGGAGAAGGAGCTGAGCATGGTGAAAGCCATGGAGGGGCCCTTCCTCCCCGTGGCAGAGCTGCACGGGCTGCGGGGGCACCCGGCCGAGGAGCGGGGCAAACCAGTGGAGCCGCTGGCACCCGGCAGACCAGGTAACATCCCCATGGGTGGCACTGGATGAGTTGCTGCCTTTGGCACAGCTTGCCTTGGTCCCCTCTCCCCTCCAGATGGCAAAGCCATGGCGGTCGGTGGCCCTGGGAGGTGGCTGGGGATGGAGCTGGGCTCTCCTGGCTGCCAGCTTGCTTTGCCAAGAGCCCAGCTGCAGTGGCTCGGAGCAGCAGCACGGTGCCTGTGCCATCTGACTCGGTCTGGGTGGTACCTTGCCCAGTGCCGTGCATGCTGGCTGTGAGAGGGCAGCACCCTTTGCTGAGCTCCAGCCCCACAGCTCTGGATCCCTCCTGCCCACAGGGGTGCTCACCCCCAAATTCCCTGATAGCCACCCATGGGTATCCCACTCTTTCCCTGCCCTGACTCTCCATCACCCCTTTTCCAACACAGACAAACTCAAGGACTCGGTACTGCCGACGCCGAAGCCCATCCAGCACCCCCTGCACCCACCACCGGGCTCCCACCACCCAGTTCCCAGCCTCATCCCCAACCACAGCGTGTTCCCACTGCCAGGGAGCAGTGCGGCCACGGCGCTGCTCATCCACCGCACCAACGAGGAGGAGAAGTGGCTGGCCCGGCAGCGCCGGCTGCGCCAGGAGAAGGAGGATCGGCAGTCCCAAGTCTCGGAGTTCCGGCAACAAGTACTGGAGCAGCACCTGGACATGGGGCGTGTCCCAAGCCAGCCTGAGCCCGAGCACCGGCCTGAGCATCCCAGGTAGGGATGATGCCAGCCCTGCTCCAGGGATGGAGATTCCCCCTAAAACTGAGCTGCGTTTTCCCATGTTGCAGCTTTCTTTGCTGTAGTATCCATATCTTAAACTGGGGAGGGACTCTGGACAAGGGTATGGAATGATAGGACAAGGGGGAATGGCTTTAAATGGAAAGAGGGCAGGTTTAGATTAGATATTGGGAAAAAATTCTTCCCTGTCAGAGTGGTGAGGCTCTGGCACAGGTTGCCCAGAGAAGCCCCATCCCTGGAAGCGTTCAAGGCCAGGTTGGACAGGGCTTGGAGCAACCTGGTCTAGTGGAAGGTGTCCCTGCCCATGGCAGGGGGTGGAATAAGATGAGATTTAAGGTCCCGTCATCGCAAAGCACTGAACCATTCCATGGTGCTGTGATATGATGATCTGTAAGTTTTCCCCCCTAACCCATGGCTGTACCCACAGAGTTGTAGGTAGCTCTACCCCCTTCCCAGGTATCCATCACCCCACTGCTGCACCCCTTGCTCCTCACACATCCCTGTGAGCCAAAGCCATGGTGTCCAGGCTGGCACCAGCAGGTCCCTGCCAGGCGGTGCCAGCCAGGCCGGCTGTGCTGGCAGCATCCAGCATTCCCGGTGCCCGACATCTGCGCGGCGGCAGGCGACGAGCCCGGGAGGTGGCCGGGGGCCAGCGGCGAGTGGCCAGGTGCTGCCCAGCCACCGGCACCGCTAATTGCATCTCCCCCCTTCCCGTGCAGCGGAGCCAGACACTGGGATGCCTCGTTTAGGGGGCACCTGTGCCGAGCCTGGGCAGTTTGGGGGGGCAGCAGAGCGTGCCTGCACCCCTTGGTTGATTGACAGGGGCTGGCTCACCCCCGTTGCTGAGCGCTTAAGCAGTGCGGGCTCATCCAGCCAGCTCTGCCGCCTGCTCCCTTTGTTATTTTTGGGTATCCAGGGGATTAGTGCGGCTCATCAAGGATAATAAGGAGCGGATCATGGGGCGGCACAAAGGCGAGTGCCCGCTGCAGGCTCCTTTCCCCATCCGCTCCTCCCACCCCAATGGGAGAGGAGGCAGCAAGGTCACCCCGAAACACCTGCAGCCGGGGATGCTCCATTCCCATCCTTATCCCACATCCAGTGGGGAGGGAGAGGGACTGATCTCAGAGGGCAGGTGGTGCTCTCCGCCGGCGGTGACACGATGGAGGCGGTGACACGATGGCGGCTGAGCTGAACCCGCTGCTCCGTGTGCGGAGCTCCAGGGCGCTGGAGCGGAAAAGCGTTAAATGCACAGCTTGGGCACATGAAATATTTATCCCGCTAACGGGCTGGCTCCGGCTCTGGCTGTCAGAGAAGGGCTGCACCAGGGCACTGCCCTGGCTACCGGGGCTGTGCCAGGACTAGTGGATCTCTTGTCCCCACGTGGGGGTCAAACCTGGGGTCTCCTGCCTGGCACCCTGGAGATGCAGCCACATCCCTGCCCAATCCTCCCATGCACAGCCTTAACTCTGCTGACATCCCTCAGGTTGGTGGCACAGGAGGGGACAAGTGTGGCAGCCCCACATGCAGAAACCCTTCTGGGCAGCCCTAACTGGCATATTTCTTCCCTAAAATCCCCTGGCGCTGGAGTGCTGCCAGCTCTCCAGTGGCAGTGCTGGCTCCTCACCTCTCCGGTCCTTTCGTCTCCCTGCAGGACCGGATCAAGCCGCCACGAGCCAAGCAGCCGGGAGCCAGGGCAGCACTTCGGTGGGCCCCCACCACTCATCTCCCCCAAACCTCAGCACCACCCTGTCACCACATCCCTCTGGAACCCCGTCTCGCTGATGGAGAACCCCCCTGATCCCCCGCGGCGCCTCCCTGAGCCCCATGCCCTCCACAGCCACCCGTCCCCCTTCGAGCCTAGCCGTCAGGGCATCCCGCTGGTGAAGGTGGAGAGGGTCTTCTGCCCCGAGAAGCTGGAGGAGGGGGCAAGGAAGAGGGATGTTCTGGAGAAATATCCCCCGGGACGGGAGCCCGGTGCCCCAGAGCACGGGGGCTTCACCCACACCCCCTTCCTAGCTGAGCTGGAAAAGTCCACTCAGAGCATCCTGAGCCAGCAGAGACCCCCGGCCACCCCCTTCCCTGAGGCCACCAAGCCCAGCTCGCCCTACCGGCCCCCCCAGCCCCGCGCCCAGGACCCCATGTACATCTACGACGAGTTCGTGCAGCAGCACCGCAGGCTGGTCAGCAAACTGGACCTGGAGGAGCGCCGGCGGCGGGAGGCCCGGGAGAAAGGTGAGGGACCGGGGATGCCGCCACTGGCACCAGGACCTGGTGACGGGGGAGCGGCCGGGGGGTCTCCCAGGGATGCCACCACTCCCGCATCCGAGCGGCTCGGTAAACCCTCCGCTCTAGACGTGCCCAATTAATAAATGATGAACTGAGGCTAATAAGTGGGTTTTAAATATTAATAGGACTGCGCGAGCAAGGAGAACAGTGGTGAGGAGGAGATGGAGTGCTTGTGGGGGGCTGGTGTTGCTCTCCCCCCTCCATTGGGTTGTGGGGCTCAGCCACAGCCTCCCCCTGGCCCTGCCCCATTGACCCCTTGCCACCCATCCCATAGTGGTGCCAAGCGGGGACACAGGGGCAGGCGATGCCCACCAAGGTCCCATGGCTGCTGGAGGGGGGACAGGGCTCCATTGAGTTGCACCTCTCATCCTGCTGGGCCTCACACTGGACCCCCACTGCTCCTCCCTGGCATCCCACCTCACTGCACCAGCACCCTGATGCACCCCCATCCCCAGTGGGGTCCCAATGAGTTCCAGAAGATTTCCTGGGATCCCAGAAGGTCCCTATGGTGTCCCCAGTCTCAGGGCAGCCTCTCCCCATCCCCAGGGTACTACTACGACCTGGACGACTCCTGTGACGACAGCGATGAGGAGGAGGTGCGGGCCCATCTCCGCTGTGTGGCCGAGCAGCCCCCGCTGAAGCTGGACACGTCCTCTGAGGTACTGATGGCACTTCCTGTCCCCTCCTGGTCCCCCCGTCCCTCCATGTTCTCTGGAGGAGCAGCCCCTCCTCAGCACCAGCTCCCAGTGTTGTGCTGAAGCCACCATCTTCAGCTGCCTGCAGAGGCACTGGAGGGTTAGGGATAGGGATGGGGATGGCGATGGAGGTAGGGAATGGAGATGAGAATGGGGATGGGGATGAGGAGAGGGATTGGAATGGGGATGAGGGTAGGGATGAGGATGAGGATGGAAACAGGAATGAAGATGAGGATGGGAATGGGGATGAGGATGAGGATGGAGATGAGGATGGGGATTGTTCCGGGGATGACCCTGCTCTGCTCTCCCCCTTGTCGCCCCAGAAGCTGGAGTTCCTGCAGCTCTTCGGCCTCACCACGCAGCAGCAGAAGGAGGAACTGCTGAGCCAGAAGCGGCGCAAACGCCGGCGGATGCTGCGGGAGCGGAGCCCTTCGCCGCCCACGGTGCAGAACAAGCGCCGCACGCCCTCCCCGCACCTCCCGCTCTCCACCCGCTACAGCCCCGACGAGATGAACAACAGCCCCAACTTCGAGGAGAAGAAGCGCTTCCTCACCATCTTCAACCTCACGCACATCAGCGCCGAGAAGAGGAAAGGTAACAGCCATGCCCCGCGCACGCCCGGGGCCGGGCCCCGCTCCCTGGTTTGGGGGTGCCATGGAGGGGTCCTGCCTGGGCCCGTGAGCTTGCTCTGCTGAGCAGAGGCTACACTAAACCTCAGCTTCCCATGCCGCAGACAAGGAGAAGCTGGTGGAGATGCTCCAGGCCATGAAGCAGAAGACCACACCGGCTGCTGTGGTGGTGAAGAGCTCCCCGCGGGACAGCCCTAATGCCCTGACCACTGGTAAGCACCCCAAGTCCTTCCCTGGCTCTTGGCCGGCTGGGAGCATCCCCTTCCTGCTGTGATGAGGGCCACAACTTTGCCTTGATGGGCACACGGAGTCTTGACTGCAGCTGTTGCTCCTCCTCTTCCCAAAGAGCCACCGGTGCCGCCGCTGCTGCTGGATCCGGATAAACCCGTGGGCATTGCTGTCTCCGTGCCGGAGGTGCCAAAGACGGGGGAGTCTGGCAGGTTAGACCAGCTGAGACCCCAGGACCTACCGAGAGCCAAGGAGTTGGGCACTGCACTGGCGGAGAAGCCCCGGCTGAGCGATGGGCACCCCGGGAAGAAGGCACTGAGCATCCTCAGCTATGTCAGGGGTCCCCTGCCCAAGGACATCCCGGTGCCACTGTCCCACAGCATGAACGGCAAGAGCAAGCCCTGGGAGCCCTTCATTGCCGAGGAGTTTGCCCATCAGTTCCACGAGTCAGTGCTGCAGTCCACGCAGAAGGCATTGCAGAAGCACAAAGGTAACGGGAAGCACAGATCACAAAATCCCAGGATCACTGAGGTTGGAAAAGGTCTCTGAGATCACTGAGTCCAGCCTGTGACTGATCCCCACCTTGTCACCCAGCCCAGAGCACTGAGTGCCATTTCCAGTTGTTCCTTGGACACCTCCAGGGATGGGGACTCCACCACCTCCCTGGGCAGGCCTTTCCAGTATTTAGTAACCCTTTCAGTAAATTCTTCCTGATGTTCAGAAAAAAAAGTAGGAAGCTAGCTGGGTGCCACTGCTATAGCACCTTGTTGTCCCACCACCAGGGTTCGTCACCAGCAACCTTGTTGCTGGAGCATCCCCAGAGCTCATTTATGAAGCTGACAACAAGGTGCTGGGATAACCCAACTCCAACCCCCCCAAACTCATTGAATTCAATGAGTGAGATAAATAAAGCTACTGCAGTGCATGGGGAGTGATGAAACCCCATGAAAAACGCTGTAGCCCCCCAAAAGTCCTGGTAGGGAATTAAAGCCTTGAGAGGAGCATCCCTCTTGGAGGGCAGCACTGGGGGGCGCAGGGAATGGGCAGGGGGCTGACTCTGGTTGCCCACAGGGGGGACGGCGGCGCTGACGGCGGAGCAGAACCACAAGCTTGACGCCTCCATCCACTACAACATCCCAGAGCTCCAGGCGTCCACCCGCCTGGCCGGGCCCCCCCACAACGGCACGGCCGAGGGGCCCCTGGCCCACCGGGCACTGCCCCCACTGCCCCGTGACTCGGCCTCCGAGGAAGAGGACGAGGAGGAGGAGGAGGAGGAAGAGGAGGAAGACTACCCCAGGCCCAAGTGGCAAGGGATCGAGGCAATTTTTGAAGCTTACCAGGAACATATAGAAGGTAGGGGGGCGGGGTGGGCCACGGAGGGTAAACCCCAACTTTGTGCCTCTGTTTCCCCTCGGGGGCATCTCTGGTTCTCGCTGGGATGGGCTGGGGAAGCACTGGTGGATCTCCAGCACTGCAGGAGCAGCATGAAAGTGACAGGCACTGGTGAAAAGTGATCTATATGTGAAAAATCAGTGTATTCACGGCTGTCCAGCATCCTCCCAGCGGGACCCAGAGGTTCCCTGTGGGCAGTGCAGGGGCTGGGGATGCTCTGGGGTGCTGGGGGCAATCACTGCTGGCTGGGCAGAGCCTTGATCAGGGCTGGCATCCTCTGTGCCAGGCCTGGAGCCAGAGGAGCCGGTGCTCAGCCCCTCTCCCTTGGATCTTGCAGAACAAAACCTGGAGCGCCAAGTGCTGCAGACGCAGTGCCGGCGGCTGGAGGCCCAGCACTACAGCCTGAGCCTGACGGCGGAGCAGCTGTCGCACAGCATGGCGGTGAGTGGGCACGGGCACCCCGTCCTCCTGGGCTCTGAGGGCTGCCCAGTCCTCCTGGGCATCTGGCCTCTGCGGGGTCCTCAATCCTCCTGGGCACTGGGCTTCTGAGAGGGACCCGTCCCTGAGGCACCCGATCCTCCTGTAGCACATCCATCCCTGCAGTGCCCATCTCTGCAGTGCTGCAGTGCCCATTCCCTGAAGTGCCCCATCCCTCGTAGTGCCCCCTACCCTATTCCCCTCACCCTATGCCACAGGCAACCACATTCCCCTTGGGGCATCCAGGCAAGTCCAGAACTCCACAAGGGATCCCAATCGCTGCAGTGCCCAATCCCTACAGTACTCATCCCTGCAGTGCCTTTTCCCTGCAGTGCACCATTACCTTCAGTGTCCATCCCTTTGCAGTGCCCATCCCTGCACTGCCCCTTCCCTGCACTGCCCCATCCCCTGCAGTTCCCATTCCCTGCAGTGCCCATCCCTGCGGTATCCAAACCCTGCAGTGCCCATCCCTGCACTGCCCCTTCCCTGCACTGCCCCATCCCCTGCGGTTCCCATTCCCTGCAGTGCCCATCCCTGCACTGCCTCTTCCCTGCACTGCCCCATCCCCTGCTGTGTCCCAAACTTTGCACTGCCCATCCCCTGCAGTGCCCTCACCCTATTCTCGAGGCACCCCACATCCACTGCTGCACGAGCACTCCCTGCTGCCCTCTGACCATTCCCTGTCCCTGGCTGCCCACAGGAGCTGAGGACCCAGAAGCAGAAGATGGTGTCGGAGCGGGAACGCCTGCAAGCCGAGCTGGATCACCTGCGGAAGTGCCTTGCCTTGCCTGCAATGCAGTGGTCTAGGGGTTATTTCAAGGGGTATCCCAGGTGACGCTCCTTGGGCCAGGCCGAACATATAGTCTAGAAATAATAATCTATTTTATTACCTTGAATATTTAATATTTTTCACTGGGAGGTTTGAAGCTAAAAAAATAAAATTGAAAAAAAAAAAAAAAAGAACATTAATAATAAAAAAAAAAAAAAAAAAAGAAGAAATAAATAAATAAATAAACGGAGAATGTGCCATGCATGAAGCAAAGGAGCACGGGAGCCGGGGAGCCCATCCCACGGCCAGCAGCCCCCAGCCTGTCCCCTCCTCTGGGGAGGGCCACGGCGCTGCAGCCCCCCCCCCTCCACCCACCCACACTTTATAACGCTCATTTTTTTGTTGGTTCTTTTGGTTTTTTTTTTAAAAAAAAAAAAAAAAAATAAAAAAAAAAAAAAAAAAATTAAAAAAAAAAAAAAAAACATTAAAAAAAAAAAAAAAAAAAAAAAAAAGAAGAAATAAATAAATAAATAAACGGAGAATGTGCCATGCATG